GAAAAAAACATTTGAATACATATCTTAGGGTTCATTTCCCTAACATCACCTTATCTGACCTTTTCTGCTTGACTCGGACATATACTAGATATTGCAAATAAGGGAAACCATGGGACCTATGTTTCTTTGGGCCTGGCTTACTTCACTTAATATAATTTTTTCCAAGCCTTTCCATTTCCTAACAAATGTCATTCTTTCTGATGGAGGCATAGATTTTTATCATGCCTCTCTATAAGGGTGGGGAGCCAATCAGGGATCACTGGAACCACGCTGTTGCCTTGTATTTTGCAAAATGACTTTCACCTCAGGGGGAAAAATTAGACACAGTGTTGACTAATGATTAACAAAATACTACTGTCCCCAAGTCTCCCACTCACCTCTACCTGCTGGATCTCCACAACGGAGCTTTCTCACTGCAAACTGAACTAACAGAAGCCAGTGGACAAGCACTCAGTCCTTTCTCACCCGTGTGCCATCATTTCCCTCCCCACTGTCCATGGAAATGTGGGGAGCATCCTCCCCTCCTCCTCCCAAAGCAACTCCTTTGCCTTACCTCCACACTTGCCATGCTCTTTAGTCTATAATACTGACTTACTGACCCACATTTAAATATCTCCTATTTCATGAATTATTAATATGAAAACTACAAAACAAACATCGTCTCATCATCCCTGAGTTGTTCACATTCTAGTCAAATGACTCAAAGAAATTATCTTTAGCCAGGTGCTAGTGGCTCATGACTATACTCCTAACTACTCAGGCAGCTGAGATCTGAAAATCTCAATTCAAAGCCAGTCTAGGCAAAAAAAAAAAAGTCTGTGGGACACTTATTTCCAATTAATCAGCATAAAGACAGAGGTGGAAGTTTGGCTCAAGTAGTAAAGCTCCAGCCTTGAGTGGAAAAAGCCAAGTAAGAGCACAAAGCTCTGAACTGAAGCCCCAATACCAGCACAAAGAAAAAAAATGTTATGAAAGGGGCGCTGTGGCTCAGGTGGTAGAGTGCTAGCCTTGAGCTGAAGAGCTCAGGGACAGGGCCCAGGCCCAGAGTTCAGGCCCCACAACCAACCCCCCCAAAAAATATTATGTCTTATTCCTCACACTTTGTTTTCAAACTGCATTAGTACACCTTCCATGGTGCCTTACACCATGTGCCTTGGTACTGGAAATCAGTCACTCATTTCCTTCTTTTCTTCTTTGTTTTTTTTTTTTAATGGTATTGGAGTCTGAATTCAGGGCCTGAGCATTATGCCTTAGATTTTCCAAGGCTGGTTCTCTACCACTTGCGTCACAGCTCCATTTCTGGCTTTCTGGTGGTTAATTGGAGATAAGAGTCTCATGGACTTGACTGGATTTGAACAGTGATCCTCATCTTCCAGCCTGCTGAGTAGCTAAGATTACAGAAATGAGCCACCGGCACCTGGCTTTTCATTTCCTTCTTGAATTTCTATTGCCCATTAGTTTTGGTGATTTCACACAAGTTTCCATCTGCAAGTGAACATTCTTTACTCTCCTTTTCCAAGCTTCTCTCCTAAAATGTCAGCGAACCTCCTCAAGGTTCATCCTTGAGGATGAATGGGCCATCCATTTCTGCACCTCGGTTTACTAATTGTGTGCAATTGGAATTAAGTTCCACTCAACAGCTCCCTTGGAATCTTAAATTCAACACGTCCTAACCGAATTCATCATCCCATCC